GGTAAATATAATTATTCTTATATTTTATGACAGAGAGAAGAAATAATAAATCTACTTTATTACAGCTGAAGTCATCGTTTTTCAACAAGTTAAAGTCTAAGTTACAGGCTGACGTCAGGTCTGGTGTAGATCATTGTTATTTATAAATTATATATTTTTCTTGTATATATCTGCTGTTTTATATGAATGTTGAATGAAATTAACATAATTATTACTTTATTGTAAAAACATGACAGATAATCTGTGAAACAGATCCAGTTTATCTATTAGTCTCTATGGAGGCTGTGAGCTGTTGTCCTGTTWGGTCTGTTTCTGCTCCTCCATAATGTCACAGACACTACCAGTGGACGGTATGGGCGGGGCTCAGTCTAGTGATCTTATTCAAGTCTATGTTGTAAACTAACTTTTGAGGCAAACAGTTTATAAAAAATAAAAAAAGAGAACCAGTCTCGGTCATCCTTTGACGTTGAGAAAACTTTTTTTATTGAATCAGTTTTTCTTTCTGCTTTGTGTCTTTGTTCARCAAGCTTTCTGTTTAAAACCAAGAACTGGATGAACCAGGTAGTGAGGTGGTCTGACAGAAGGGCTGCAACTGAACCCTGAATCCCTGAACTCCAGACAGACCTGGAGAATCTGGATCCATTGTAAAGGACCTGTTTCTTCAGCTGCACTAAGAGTTCTGGGGYCGGATTTATAAAACTGGCGTAKGCACAATTTGAGCCCAGAAACTTGTGTACGCCACATTTTACGCCAAGGTTGTGATTTATAAAATCCAAACTTGACGTGAAAATGTGCGGTGCCTCAGCCAGCTCTGACCCATGCGTACGCTCATTTTGGAGACGTGAAACTGCGACACAGATGGTGAAGTGARGAACTAGAGCCACACTGTGTAATGATCACTGTCWGATATTTAATTTACCTTCAGAATCAGACTTGGATATTTATTCATCTTTATCATCAGCTTTCTTAACAGCAATATTTATGCTTCTGCTGCTGCTGAGCCAGAAGGAGCTTTGAAATAAAATAAAAAAACTTAAATCTTAAATAAAAGTTCCCGTGCG